TTGCGATCACACACCCAAATGATTTAACAAGAGACTTTCTATTTTAGAATGTGAGAAATTGTCACTAACAAATTAGGACAATACTTACTTACTCACCGGTGAGTAGAAAATTCATGCTTAGATATGATGTGCAAGTGTCCATAAAATAGAAAATAATAAAAATTAAAAAAACTGAATGCTTACTGGTCAACCAAAAATGATGCAAATCAAATCTTAATTTAACTCTACCCCTCTCTTTCTCTCTCTCAAACTTTATACTAAAATCCTAATCTGTTAATACCAAAAGCTTTGACTTTTTGGTTTAATGTGTAATCCTTACACGTACTTATCGATTGTTTTTATCTCAAGTACAGATTCTTATCAATTGTTTTATCTAAAGTACACCCAATTATATAAAATTGGATTCACACGGTTTGATAGATGATTTGTTGATTGTATGATAGATTGTTATTGCTTATTTCTTATTTCTTTTTCTTTTGTTGGAAAATAAATATCTATATATCATTACTTTTATAGTTCTTCTTTCTATTCATAATTCCGAGTTTTGTTTGTATCTTCTAATATTATTTTATTTAAGAATTTTAGCTTAAAATGTTTTTTTCCGACTAGATCCCCTTCTCATTCACTCCTTGAATGAAAGAAGAAAACCAAAGTTGCGTAAGAGAGAGGGGGAGAGAGAGTTAGATTTGGATCATATTGGGTTTAATCTTGATAACCTCTCAAATCTTTTAATTTTTATTATTTTATATTATACGGACATGTGTTCCACTAATTTTGTGCCACATCAAAATAAATATGAACTTACTACTCACCAATAAATAGGCAAATGTTATCCAACAAATTATTGAATTAAATCAATCCAATTGTTGAAAATTGTCATATTTCACAAATCGCAATGTTTTAGAATTGAAACCATACAATTTACGAAGTCACTTTATTTGTGATGGATGGCAGTTGTTTACCCCAATGTTTGATCTTCTCTCCGTCCGTTTTTTTTTTTTGCACATATACACCCCTTAAGTGTTTGAATAACAAAATAACACATTAGTTTTAATAAAAAAAATCAGCAAAATAATAATAATAATAAAAAAGGTGGAATCGACCCGTTTTAATTAGGTAATCACCCTTTCTCTTTTCTCTCTCCTTTTTCATTAAATCCAAACCCACGCCCTCCTTTCTCCACTATTCTTCTTCTTCTTCTTCACCCTTTCTCTTTTTATTTCTCTTTTTCATTGCTTCACAAAATGAATTGACAAAATTAAACCAAACCATCTTCAACTTTGCAACCAATTAAAGAATTGAGCCTAGGTTGAAAAAATATATAAAATCCTTTGGTATTTCTTGTCCTTTGATCTTTATTAAATCTCCATATATGTTATCAGTTTTACTAAATTTCTATATTCAATTTTAATCATACTTAGATTAAATTTATGCATGGCTAATTCCTACTACCTTAAACTTTTAGAACAGATTCAATGCTTGATGACAAATATACCAAGAAATCAACATAGGTCAACACATTAATAACAAAGAAACCAGACCTAGTTTTATTCAGGCTACACTTTTATATGTGGCTTCAGCTTTTCTCATCGATGCATACACTTGGAACAACAAATTAATCAGAAACAGAACATAGAAAATAAAAATTGATAAATGATCCATGTAATAAACTTCCATCGTGCGAACTTCTTACGAAAATTAAGCTTCTGTCCCATCATGCAAACATTTCTGAAATATTGAGCGACGGGTGTTCAATTGTAAAAGAGTTATATGTAATTAACAAAATCTTCCACTGAAAGAATGAATTTGTTATATTCAGTGATGGAGAGAGAGAGGAGAGAAGCAAAGAGGAGTAAAAAAGAGAGGGGAAAGTGTCAAATGATAAAACGTAGCAGGCTTAATTCTTTAATTGGTTGCAAAGTTGAAGATGGTCTGGTTTAATTTTGTCAATTAATTTTGTTCTTTTGGTTTGGTTTAATTTTGTCAATTAATTTTGCGAAGCAATGAAAAAGATAAATAAAAAGAGAAAGGATGAAGAAGAAGAAGAACAACAACAACAGTGGAGAGAGGAGGGCATGGGTTGGAATTCAATGAAAGAGGAGAGAGAAAAGAGAAAGGGTAATTACCCAATTAAAACAGGTTGATCCGATTTTTTTTTTATTATTATTATTTTACTAATTTTTTTATATTAAAATTATGTTATTTTATTATTAAAATATTTAAAAAATAATAGGATGAAATTACTCACCCATAAATAACTAATCATTCTCCATAACTTATTACAAGTTCTACTCTTACAAAAATTTCCTAAAGTGTGATTAGATGGTTATCAAATCAATCTTTTTACCTTATAAACCCTGTACAAAAAAATAAAATTTTGGTCCCGTAAATTGACTTCCCAATGCCACGTTTCATGGACGAGTAGTGACACGTGTCACCTCTGGGTTTGTTGACACGTAACACCAAATGGTCCATGGTAATGACTAATGGGAAGTCCCAAATTCGAATTTCTTATCCTCCCTACAAATCACCACTTTGAATGCTTAGTGTAAATCTAAAGTCATTCTATCCTGGGTTTGGCAATAATACATGAGTTTGGATTTTGATTTAATAATGTTTGGATTATACTCGCATCTAACACAATTACACGTAAACATAAAATAATTGTATCATGCTCGTAGATGAGTCTATAATTAGTTTAATTTGATTTGACTGGTTTATACATATACATAATAATAATTGATTCCTATCTAAGTCTATAATTAGTTTAATTCGATTTGACTCCTTTATATAAATACATAATGATAAGTGATTCATATTTATATTAATCTATACAATAAGATAACACTTATCTCATACGTAACAATAACATAAATTGTAAACATTGTTTCATCCAATAATCGATCATGTCATAGTAAATATTTATTAAAAGAGAAAGAAAGAATTAAATTGTTTCCTAATATGGTATGTGAAGAGACTTTAAAGTAATAGTAGAAAACTAAATCAACAAAGTGTATATTCGAAAGTAAACCTTAACCATAATTTCCAAAAAGTGATCAACAAGGGCCAAATGTCCTGTTTTAGTGTACCCTATTTTTAGCTATTTATATATAAATCCATGTGCTAGCTTTTAATATAATAAGCATACGTGTGTGTTGTGATCATAATAATGCAAATGCATTTCACTTATCATAAAATCAATCTTGTTTCTAACTGTTACAATCAGATCACAACTAGAAAGAGTTTTAAAATTCATAACCCATACGATAAAAACATATTCTTCTGTGACATCACCAGTACAAAGTTGGGCATTTCACGTACCAAATGCATGTTTGTGTTGACATATATATACTACAAAATAATGAGATAAGAGTGCTATTCCGTGACCCCATTAGCCATTCATGATCTAGAATCAACTTTATTTTTTATTTTTATAGTTTTAATACTATTATAATATTCTACAAATCCCATGTGGATAAATGAAGATTCATGCATTGCGTGCATGTACATCCAAACGGATCTTCTAACTTTATAGTTGTGAATATTTGTAAATTTATTTTATATGAAATGAAAAAGGGTACTACCATAAAATTTTTGATCCCATGGAGAAATGAATTCAAACATGCCAGTAGATAATTAAAGATTAAAAAATATATATAGAATAATTTACTTAAACGGACCTTTTTTTTATTATTTTATGTAGTCAAAATCATGATGATTCGAAAAAAATTGGAATTAAAAAATATAAAATATACTGTTCATTTATCCAAACTACATTTATAATTTCACTTATGTGTCTGAAAATAATAAAAGTAGTTTGCCCAATAATAAAAGTAGTTCGTACAAAAGATCAGTGTTTTTTCTTGTAGACGTCAATACTTTGATCAATTTTATTTTCTCTTGAGTTTGACTTTATAAAATAATAAATAAAAGTTCACCACTCAGAGAATACGTAATTATTCATAAAAATATTTACACATAAAATAGTTGGAACCTTAATAAGAGAGACGGAAGCTTATAAAAAAAATAGTTGGAACCTTAATCATCGACTTAATTTGCTTAAAGAAAGCGATTCTAATGCGATGTGATATGTTTTTATTTTTTTGTTTTTTTTTATTTTTTTTTGACACACTGCGATGTTATACAATAGACGTTATATCACTGACCATTAATTAACCAATTAAAATTTATTACTTTTAAATACGGATACCACACAATATTGGTGGACTGATTGCATGGCATTTTAAGTCAAATGCATTCATGTATATAATTATATAAATAAGTGTCACACCAAATGTTATGATTTAATTAATTCGCCATATCATGCCATTAAAATAATATAGTATTACCGACATATGTACTAGTAATTTGGTTATCATATATCTTTTGATAAATAGTGATATTTACATAACTTCACAGTTTTACGTACTAAATTTTTAGTACTTCTTCATTTAGCAAACCGTGAAGATTTCTTAAGTAGTTTTTCTTTCTTTTCCTAACTTCAAAGTGAATTTGTTTACTAATTAAATAAATAATCATAAATATGCAGATATTTAAGACGCATATACTTAACGTTTATTTTCCAATTTGTTCTTGTCTAGTTAGTAATTTGTAGAAAAAAAAAAAATTTGAGGCTTGTCCAATAAGAATTGTTTATATTATTTTCTATGTTTTTTTTGGTTGCTCTAAGTGATCGAGGATGTACAATGTAGCTGCAAATAATAAAATTAAATCCATATACAAATATAGTATGTTTGTATTGAAGCATGTATGGAGCTAAAGTCAGCAACTGCCCCAAGAGAGCCTTCCGTCTAAATTTCTCCAACCCTAAACCATACCTGAAAAGTCATGGAGATTTCTCTCTCTCTACTATAAATATTCTAAATCGTCATCACAGATTCACCAATCACTTCACATCTTCAATACCTCGTACATCATTCTATTAATTTCCCAAACCTTATGATAACCTTTTTTCTGTCTTAATTACAAAGAAGCAAACAATGGCTCTCCAAAAACATCTCCTCCTCCCATTCATTCTCATTTTTCTCTCCTCTCTTTCATGTTACACCACTACTTTTCATGGGTATCCACCCCACAATTATCTTCAACAAGAATTTGGCTACGATTTTCGGGCACACCCTTCATTTTTCGACCCCATTGACGACGATACTACGTTTGGGAACTCTATCAACCTCCAAGCCACAAACTTCAGGCTGAAGAAGATTGGTGAAGTGCGTAGTCTTGCAGCTTCAGTTAACACGGTTAGTGTAGATAATTTTGGAGCTAAAGGTGATGGAAGAACTGATGATACAGAGGTAAGTGTTTTAGTTCAAATCAGGTCAATCTGAAGGCTATAAATGTGCTGTTTGTTTGACAATCGTGTTTATCAAATTAAGGACCCGTTTAGTAACTGCAGTTGCTTTGTGTTTTTGTTTTGACCTGAAAGAGAAACAATGTTTCCGTTTTAGAGTGTATGTAACACTATTTCGAAGTTTGTTAGGTAACGTAAATTTGTTGCAAGATTTTTAAAAGCAAAAACATGAGAGATGTTTGATAGAAAGTATTGCAAGTTTGAAATTTTAAATGACTAGTTAAAAATGTTAATTTTTTTTTTTTTAAAGTCCTTTGCAACAGTGTGTTAGCAAACAAAAGCATTATTTTGATACTTCTGATTTTTACCTCAATTTTAGAAGTGATACGGTATGAAATACTTAATTTTTAATTTTTAAAATTTTCAATACTTAATTTTGTACTTAATTTTTTATTTTTTTTAGAACAGTACCTAGCATACTTAATTTTTTTTAGAACATGCTGCAAATGATTTCTTTAACACGATTTCCAATGTATGTAAAAATAATAGTTATAATGTGAAGGATATTTGAAAAGAAAAAAATATATATGAGGAAAATTAAATAATTAATATTTATATTAATTAATGTAAGATATAGAGAAAATTAAGCCCTCACTTTGCCTTTGATCCTCAACTTGCATCAAGCTACTCCTAGTTCAAATTAATGATGGATTTAGAGGCCTAACTTGAGCTGACATTTTGCTGAACACTAATAATTTTTTATGGTATATATGGTAATTACGTACATAAATTATGGTTTGATAAGCTTCATTGTTTCCATTGAAGCAGATATATGATGATTGAAACACGCACAGTACTTAATTAGGAATTTTTTTAAAAGGCGCCACTCGGTCAATTTGTGTTATGCATCTTTAATTGGACCATTTAGATTTTGTTAAAAAGTGTTATTTTTTAATGTAATTTTATTTACCTAAGTTAATTTGAGTGCCATCCATGCCCTTTCAGGCATTTAAGAAGGCTTGGAAGGTAGCTTGTTCATCATCTACAGGAGCTGTTAATTTTGTGGTGCCCAATAACAAAAATTATCTTCTCAAGCCAGTTACATTCTCAGGGCCTTGCAAATCTGCTCTTACAATGCAGGTTAGATATCAAACATATAAGATCAGGAGGAGTCCTTCAAATATTCAATAAAATTATCATATACATACATCATACATACACACATATATATAGACCATACACACTGAGCAATTATTTATAATTTTTGGAAAAATCAGATCTATGGAACCATTAAAGCATCCGATGATCGATCGGACTACAAAGAAGATGGAAAACACTGGCTTCTATTTGACAGCGTTCAGAATCTATTGGTTGAAGGTGGTGGGATTATCAATGGAAATGGCAATATATGGTGGAAAAACTCTTGCAAAATCAATAAAAAACTTGTAAGCCTAACCAACCATGCATATATATATATGGAACATTTCTTTGATTTCCTTTCTCTTTTCCACTTTTTTGAATTAAATATCCTAATAATATATCGGCTGATTATTCTCTTCGTTTTGACTTGTATGCAGCCATGCAAAAGTGCACCAACGGTAAGTTAATGACTTTGTCACTGCAATTTACGTTATATTAACATAATAATTAAATATATATATTCTCTTATACTAGTATAATATGGGGGTTATTGCTTGCTTGCTTGGTCTGATGGTACAAGTTTTTGAGTCTCTTGATTTTGAAAGGCATAAAAGTGTGAGTCAACAAGCATAAGAATAAAAGTTTTTTTTTCCCAATCTTCAATCATTTTACCATCAATGTCCTCCCAACTCAGCCTACTTGGGTGGGCTATACCCTTATGTACTCTGGGCTACTATTCTAGTTTGGGCCAATTTGCCTTGTTGACCTCTATGCCCTATTGGGCCCACTGTCTGACTAGCCTTTGGGCTCTCTCCACCTACATACTTTTACATATATAAATACACACACAATTGTTTAACCTGATCAAATACTCTAATAACATAAAAGCTGGTATCATTCTAATCGTATATGTTTTGAATAAAGCTAAATACTGTCACTGCAAAAAAGAAAAAAGAAAAAAAAAAATGCTTTTATTCTAATTTTTAGCTAGTTCCATAACTATTTATGGAATAAATTGAGAAAATTTGATTTGGCAGGCTTTAACCTTCTACAACTGCAAGAACTTGGTAGTGACAAAGCTGAAGATGGAAGATGCACAACAAATTCACATTTCTTTTGAGAAATGTGTGAATGTTGTAGCTTCTAATCTCGTGGTGACAGCACCCGAGAATAGCCCCAACACTGATGGGATTCATGTCACAAACACCCAAAACATCCAGATTAAAAGCTGTGTTATTGGAACAGGTACACTTCAAAACATAACTCATCCAAATAGTTATATCTAACAGCGTCAATTCTAATACACACACATGCTCGCACACACACACATATATATATATATGTATGCTTCTGATTAATTGATAAAGTTCCTAATTATGTGTTTCAAGGTGATGATTGTATTTCTATTGTGAGTGGGTCCAAGAAGGTGCAAGCCACGGACATAACTTGTGGACCAGGTCATGGTATCAGGTCTTACATTCAAACCTTTAACTTTCGATGTGAAATGTAACAAATGTTTCTGAGTTCTTTTGATATTGTGGATAGATTAAAGTAATGTTCTATTTTATTCCGATTTCCTTTTAAATACACTGTGAGCTCAGCATTGGAAGCTTAGGATCTGGACATTCAGAAGATTATGTTTCAGATGTGATGGTGAATGGAGCTAAGTTTTTAGGAACTACAAATGGAGTCAGGATCAAGACATGGCAGGTAAGATACATGCATACAATTTTTTTTTTTTTTTCTTTTCCCCAGTTAAGTAAGTGATGCATACATACATACATATATATATATATATATATATATATATATATAGATTACATCTAGTGCATGTCTTAACTACACAGGGAGGATCAGGAAGTGCAAGCAACATTAAATTTCAGAATGTCGAAATGCAGAGTGTGTCCAACCCTATAATCATAGACCAGAACTACTGTGACCAAGATGATACATGCAAAGAACAGGTAATTAATATCCCAAACCCCCTAATCAAGAACTCCTTGATCAAAGTAACACCAACCCTTGATTTCACAGATGCAAAAATTCACGAATTTGGTTAATTAATCACAGGAATTAGCTGTTCAAGTGAAAAATGTGGTATACCAGAACATTAAAGGCACAAGTGCTTCTCAAGTGGCTATAAAATTTGATTGCAGTAAAAGTACTCCTTGCCAAGGGATTGTGTTGCAAAATATCAACATAGAAGGCGACAAAGGTGAAGCAGCCAAAGCTCTATGCAACAATGTCAACTTCAATGACATTGGAGCCATTTCGCCAAAATGCCCCAACTGAGAAGAAGAAGCTATATATATATATTCACACACATCATAAGAAATTTACTGTATTGGCTAATTGTGGCAGTAGTATACGAATATGTTAAAAATACAATTTAGAACTTTATACTAAGAATGTTTTAGAAAAATTGATGTACATAATTGATGTACATAGGAGAAGTTGTATGTGTGGCTTGCCCATTGTTTTGGGCCTTGGCCTGTTTGTAACTAATATCATTTACAAAAATTTATCTTTCGAATATATATATGAGAATTTAAGTTTTTTTTTCAATTATAAAGAAATTAAGTGATGATAAGAAAGTTGTTTTATATAACGGGTCTTAAGTATCACTTATTTATATATATATTTTCTTAGTTGGTACTTATATATGTTTTTTATATATATATACTTTGATTGTGACATTAATTTGCAAAAAAAAATCCATTCTTACTCCTTAGACTTTTCGATCCGCAAAATTCACGCCCCTTAGTTTCTTGCCCACGACTATTTTTTTAAATCCCAAAATTGATTTCCAGGAAAAATTTTGATAGAAAAGACGTTATATGTATTTCCATGAACTCGAACCATAATAATTTTTAATATATACATATAGAGAGTGAAGGGGCAGAAATTCTTACTGGGCCGGTAGCGACCCAGCCCACCCGTTTAAGATTGGCCCAGTCCAACCCTTGAGTCCATCCACGTATACATTGAGCCCAACCTGTAAAACGGACAGACTGAAGACAAGGACCAGCCCACTTTACTTTGTCCTTAGGATCCAGAATGGAATTAAGGTATAAATAGGGAAAGGAGGAAAAATGAAAGGTCTCTTGGGATTTTCTCTGAGAGAGAGAGAGGGGAAAAATGAAAGGTCTCTTGGGATTTTCTCAGAGAGAGAGAGAGAGAGAGAGAGAGAGAGAGAGAGAGAGAGGGGAAAAATGAAAGGTCTCTTGGGATTTTCTCAGAGAGAGAGAGAGAGGTGTCATATTACATTTTAATTTTTTATGTTTAAATTACACATATAACTACCTTTTTAGATATGATTTTTTTCTTCTTAAAGCACATGTACCGACTTATAACACACGCACTATTCAAATTAAAAGTACGATTTAGAAGTGAAATTTCAAAGACTTACCTTCTAATTCTTACTAACATGGCTATGCCTCTGGAGGCCTTTTAGATATGATTGGTCCCCTCCTTGACATTTGACAACTACCAAACCAAAAATATATATATATATAAATAAATTATCTGATTTTACAGTAACAAAAAGGCCAAAAAAAAAAAAGAAAAAGAAAAAAGGAATCAAAAAAAGTTATGATAGGACGCATGTCATACTATGGATGAGGTTTGACATACAATCTCCTCTAAATGGAACACTACTATATAATTTCTTACTATGGATTACTAATTTACTAATCACTACAATGCTGAAATTTTACAAATTAGTGAATACCAATTGGTGAAATTTATGTGGAAGTAGTGAACTTGACCAACAACACATAACAATGAAAAGTCACTACGGAGAGAATTTTGATTCTATATTTATGGGGGTAAAATGCAAGAAACCATTGGGGTTTTGCATTTAACCCTATGGAATTATAAAAAATTCCTCTAAATTATAATTTTATTGTAATTTATCTTATCAGGTCATCAAAAAAAGATAAAAGATCATTCTACCTTTATTATAAAAGGACATATTTTTTATTTTTAATATTTTAAACTTATCTTATCAAGTCATAAAAAAGATAAAAGATCATTCCACCTTTATTATAAAAGGACATATTTTTAATCTTTAATCTTTTAAACTGTTGACGTGACTTTGTAAAATCCGATCAACCAATTAGAGTACGACAACACCCACAAAGAGTTAAGTTTCACATATGGTCCACCAATTGTCTCTCTCTCTCTCTATATATATATAGACAATTGGTAAAGTGTAACTAACCCCTCTCAACTATACCCCAAGTACAACTAACCCCCCTCAATTACAAATAACTCACCTCAAATATGGTCTAGGTGTAGTCTTAGGATAGAGAGTGTTCTTCAGGTCATTTCTAGCTACCGAAAATTGGAAAAGTCTAATTTACCCCTCCATAAAACAGTGACACATCACAATGAGGAAAATAGAGTACATGGAGGACACGTGTCAGTAGCCTATTGGCTGATGACTTTATTATTATTTTTCCTTTTTTTTTCTTTATCCAACTGGGTCACTTCTTAATACCCTCTCTCTCTCTAACTAGTCCATGTCCAAGCCGCCAAATTGAAACGCGATGATCCCAAAGGCGACGACGAAACTGGCAATTGACAGAATGGCGGGCAAGGCGGTGACGAGCTTGGCTGTGGCGGCTTAATGGAGACAAGCTGGCTATGACGACGAGGTGGAGATGGGCTGGCTGTGACGGTGAGGTGGAGACGGGCTGGTTGTGACGGCGAGGCAGATGGAGGGCTCGCCTGACTTGGCCATGAACGACTCGCGGTGGCGAGCTTGGTGGGATTGAATGACGGCCGAACTCACTGCGAGTAAGGAGACTTTGGACGGTGGAGAGGATGAAGACAGCCTCGGCGGTTTCGGCTTTAAATGATGTCGGCTGTGTGGACGGCAGGTGGTGCAGCGGCGGTGATGGACCGACAAGGGCTCAGCCTTGAGGAAGAAATGCGGCGGTGGTTGGGTTTTGCAAATCAGTTCTTTGCGATTGGGTTTGCTTGTGATTGGGGTTGAGAATCAATTCTGTTACTGTTGAAATCGAATTTCTCATCTTACAGATGAAAACTTGCCATGAATATGGACGGGCATGTGCACACGACCTATATATATATATATATATATAAAGAAAGAGAGAGAGAAAGAGGTTCCATTAAACAAAATTAAATGATGTATACTTATATAGACAGCTACAGAAGAACTCATTCTCTATAAAACATACAATATATATATATATATATATATATATATATATATATATATATATATATAGGTAGATAGAGATATACTCCATAGATCGATGAGGAAGGAGGACAAAATGTTAGGGCTTGTTTGGATATTAGTTGGGTCCAAATGTATTTAAAGGGTATTATGGTCTTTTACATTCCATAAGGGCTCTATTGTCATTTAGAGAAATATGGGCTATCACGTGCAAGCCATATGTTAGAAATCCATCAACCGGTTGTCGGATTGGGTTAAATGCAACCAAACAACATACTTCAAGGGGGTTTTATGCTACTTTAGAAATTTAGGGAGGTTTTTTGCTCATTAGGGTATAATTGAGGGGGGTTTGTTGCACTTTACCCTTTATTTATTTACTTTTGCATCAAACAAAATAAACGATTACACCCAAGTGACCCAATTCCTTCTTCCTCATTGATACCATAACTGTTTTAAGGAAGAACTAAATATCTCTTTACAATTTTTTTTTTTAGGTAAAATCTTTGCACCATCTTCCTTAGGGGAAACCCCAAAATTTGTGGGAAGCTAATGCAAAATTTGACAAGGGGAGAGGAATGAAGATATGATATGCCGGGATATGAGCGATAGATACATAAAAAGGACGTGAGATTCACGTGGACCATTCTTGGGGAGCACATCGACGATATGCTAAAACACCGCCAACAATAAGAGTGTGTTTGGGTGTAACAATAAGATAAGGGTGTGTTTAGTGTAATGGTCACAGTAATAGAGTCTTCACATGCTCATAAGGGCGTTATAGCGACGTGATGATCTTAATTGGCAACATTCAATCGGCCAATCGCTGATGGGTTATCTATAACAAAAATGTATAAATCAAGTGTTTTTGCAACTTTTAAAGTTTAGGGTTTGTTGCTGATTGGCCAATAATTGAGGGTTTTTTTTTTAAAAATTTTAAATTCTACCCTAATATATATTTTATAACCAATCTCAGATAAGTTTTAATTATTATTATATTATTTATTTATTATAGTGATAGATAATTAATTTCCAAATATATCATATTTTTGTGGTGGTCCACAAAAATAGTGTTAATGGGACGGTTTAAAGGAAAAATACTATATTGCAGGAGTATATTTCCTTATTTAATTTGTACTTCCCGATTTTTATAGGTTTGGACAATCATTTTATAATTAGGGTTAGACTTGAGTTAAAAAATCTTAACTCAAATTTAATTAGGGTTACGCTCGGGTTAAAGTGTTAGCAACCCGAACCCGAATTCTAATATTATTTTCATATATATTTTTACTTTTAAATACATTATATATAATATTTAAACTATGATTACTTTTTTTCTTTTCAACTTTTTTTATTAAATCTTAACTTATTGTATGTTAACATTTAGGAGAATTAATTTTCTAAAAATTTGATTGTAATTTATTAAAAATCTACAAAAAATCTTTAAACTTCTTCTTGTTTAAGAGTAATTTAATCTAAAACTAATTAAAGATCATATTAAATTTTCGATATAAATATTAGTTATATGAGTAACTCGAAGTTTTAATCCGGAATCTAATTCTGAGCTGCAAACCCGAATTTAAAAGTAGAAGGATGAGTTGGACTCGAGCTGAGTAGTTAAGATTGATGATAGGGTTTGGGTGGGGCTTAAATTAAAGCTCAAATCTGTTCGAGTTGCAGCCCTAATTCTTAATAGTCGTACTACTATATTATTAAATAAATTAATATACTAAAATACCAAAACACTCCTTTATTATTAATTAAATTAATGTACTCAAAAGTCTCGTACATTTAATAATAGTATAAATTTTAATATTATATATCTCTTTCTCTAATTTTTGGTAAATAAGTAAACCTATCTAAAAATAAAAAAAAGTACACATATATACTTGGAGGCCCACGCCACGGCAAAAGACACCCAAAAAATAAAGACTTATATCCCGAAAACATTCTTCCTTTGTTTCGACGTAAAATAATTTTTTTGAAGGTAAAATATTTTTTTATTTTTACTTTGTCGGTATTTGACAAAGGTCTACGTCGAGGTTAAGGTTGCGTTCATCGAGCGGGGCATATAAAATAACTTGTCGAAAATTAATGGATAAGTTATTTTTGTTAAATTTTAATAATTTTTTTTTTGTAAATATTTTACGATTACCAAATATCTAAAAATAAAAATATATATATATATATTTTCTAAAAAATATTTTACGTCCAAACAAAGATAGGCTAAATCCAAACTTAAGATGGTAAGCACGGGCCAAATTCAACAGTTAGAGCAAGTCCAATGGGGTAGATTCCGGCGATTTTGGGCCAAATTTAAAGAGTGGGCTGCTCCAATGGACTCTTTAAAAAATGGGCCCCATTCTGAGGCTCTTGATCCAGGTCGCCAAATACCAAGATTAGATTGGAGATTTGTGAGTCTAACAGGCGGGCCTGCATCCGTTTTCTTTTTCTTTTTTAATTCTGGCCCAAACAGTGTTTTAGCCCAAAACACTATTTAGTGAGGCATGTTTGGCTAGAAAAAAGAGAGGAAAAAATCAGTTTTTTTGTTGATTTTGGTCTCTCTTTTTTTTTTTCGTCAAAATAATTGGACCAAATAGCCGTAAAGGCACTGTTTGGCTGACACGAACAGTGCCTTAAAGGTTTTTTTGGGTAAAAAAAGTTTTAAAAAAATAGATAAAAGTATTTTTTTAAAAAAATTTGTTTTTCAAAATATTCCTACTAACATATAATCGTTTTAGGCACTATTTGGCTGACCCAAACAGTGCCTTAACGGTTATATTGGCACAAAAACCTATTTTTTGAATTTTTTTTTTTTTAAAATAATTATATACATTTTTTTTTTTATTTTATTATTATTTTTTTTTAAAAAAAAAAACCTTTCATTGTTTGTTTCAAATGATATTAGAAACCTTTCATTATTTAGTTCAAATATAGCCGTTAGGAAAAAGTTAAAAAATAAATTTTATTTTAAATTTTAAAAATATTAAAATATTAATATTTTTGGAGTGCAAAAATGCACCATTAGAGTACATTCGATAGCTAAAATTTGGAGATTCTAAAACGCTGACGTGGCTATGAAAAATGCTGACGTGACTATGAAAAAATGCTGATATGGCAAATTCAGAGAGTCCATTAAAGATGCCCTTAACAACACAATTGGATTGAAAACTGTAACTATCATTTTAACTAATTTCAATATTTTTTACTAATATATTATTAAATAAATTAATGTACTAAAATATTTAAAACTCTAATTTTAATAATAGTATATAGATAAGGAACCCACGCAATATATATAAATTCTCAAATCTTAAATTAAGATTGAGAGAGGGAAGAAAGAAAAAAGAAAAAAAGAAAAATAGTAATAATTAATATGGCCCACGGTTGTACATTAACTTTTCTTGTACGAGTTGAGTTTTTCAAACCGAGTGCATGCATGCACGAGCAGTCAAGAATGTATTTTTTTATTTTTACTTGACATTTACTACCAAATTGCACTACAATTATTGCATACTTGGCGGATTAGGTCATTTTTAGGAACGTCATAAAACTGCAATTTCAAGTATAGAATGTTGAGTAAAAATAGAATGTAGAAAGAAAACTATACAAATCTGTATCTGAGGACTTAAAATTATAGCCATATGACATATATATAAATTCAATGTCAAATTAATGCAAAAAAAAAAAAAAAAAGGCAGATTAGGTAAAAACTTACGGTTATGCGAAAAATTACTCAAAGTAGGAAACAACCTGTAAAAGTGGTCCATTTACATTATAAAATGAGGTGGTGCATTTACATTGTAAAAGTTATTGTTTAACATACGACAAAGTGGTGCACGTATGTAAATGTAATTTGGTCATTATCTTTTGATAAAATGATGCACTCTTTAATTAGTATTACATTTTGAGTAATTCTCTGTGCATTTAGCAAAATATGCTATGATTTCATAATATGAAGATAATTAATACTTAACATTTACTTTCCTATTTGATTTGAAATTTGTTGAAAGAAAAGCATGTATTATATAGATATAATTGCCCTAATTGCTCACTCCCTCCCTCCTATAAATATACTAAGATTATCATGACAATTTCATTACTTCAGTACCTGCTTATTGTAACCTATTTCTCTTCCTTGATCACAAATTAAAGAAGCATATAATTATGTCTCTCCGAAAACATCTTCTTCTCCCATTCATAGTCATTGTGCTCTCATGTCTTTCCTGTTACACCAGTATTCATGAAGTTGGTAGTCTTGTAGCTTCAGTTAAGCCAGTTAGTGTAGATGATTTTGGAGCCAAAGGTGATGGAACCACTGATGACTCAGAGGTAATTATAAGCTACCACTTCTGTACGTTCAAATCATGCAGGTCGATCAGCATAATGTTTCTAATTTAATGATACATTTAGAGGCCTTACGATATATGAAGCGACTTATTTGATTATTATACTACTATATGGGTATTATGGTTTGATATATCATACGCTTCATTGTTGTCATTGGTGCTAGTTATCATTAATTTGAAATTTTGAACATTTACTGGAGGAATGTATTCAAATGAATTTTTGAAACTTTTCATACATTTAATCGAACCATATAGATTTTTTTGTTTTCGGTAAATGAACCATATAGATTTTGTTAGAATGTGTTATTTAATAATGTGATTTTTACCTGATTAATTTAATTTGATTGCTATTTAATTTATGCACTATCTGCAGGCATTTAACAAGGCTTGGAAGGAAGCTTGTTTATCATCTACAGGAGCTGTTAATTTTGTGGTGCCCAATAACAAAAAATATCTTCTCAAACCAGTTACATTCTCAGGGCCTTGCAAATCTGATCTTACAATGCAGGTTAACGTTCGATATCAAACATCTAAGCTAGAGAAGCTTCCTTCTTCAAAGCTTCAAGAAAATTATATATAATATATATATGTGTGTGTGTGTGTGTACACTCTAAGTAATTATTTGTATATTTTTGAAAAAATCAGATCAAGGGAACCATTATAGCATCTGATAATCAATCAGACTACAAGAATGATGGAGCACACTGGCTTCTTGTTGACAGTGTTCAGAATTTAATGGTTGAAGGTGGTGGGATTATCAATGGAAATGGGAATATATGGTGGAAAAACTCTTGCAAAGTCAATAAAAATCTTGTAAGACTAACCAACCAAACATGAAACATTTACTTGATTTCCTTTTCTTTCTTTTTTTTTCTCTTTTTTGAATTAAATGTCCTAATAATTGGCTGATTATTCTCTTGTGTTTGACTTGTATGCAGCCATGCAAAGCGGCACCAACGGTATGTGTTAAATATTGTTGCACTCATATATAATTAGGTTCTAACCCTTCTATGGATTCTATATATTTTGGGTACAGTTAATTAAATCCTTCCAGATATCATGAAATTTTTCTGTATATAATACACATATGGTAAACAATTATTATATATGCACTTTTCTAACCATATTACAGGAGTATGAATTAAAAAAAATTCTAGATATTAAGAACCCGAGTTTAATCTAGCTTATTCTGTTTGAGAGCATCAAATCAATTTCTTTAAACTAAATTTCTTTTAATTTTAATTTCAAATTATCGATTAAGACATAAGAGTCTTTTTACCTATGAGCTTCAGTTATAACCATTTGACTTTACCATGTGAAATTTAAACTATTGTTTGATCAAGTGAACAAACACTTGGAAGTTTTATTTTATTTCTAACTGATTTCCATCAATTATGGAATAAATTGAAAATTTTAATTTGTCAGGCTTTAACCTTCAACAACTGCAAGAATTTGACGGTACAAAATCTGAAGATCCAAGATGCACAACAAATTCATGTTACATTCCAGAATTGTGTGGATGTTCAAGTTTCTCATCTCACGGTCACAGCACCGGGGACAAGCCCCAATACTGATGGAATTCATGTCTCAAACGCTCAAAACATCCACATTAAAAACTGTATTATAGGAACAGGTACACACTTGAGCATAAGTACTCATCGAATTAAATTTTTTTTTTTTCCTGAATTACTCATCGAATTAATTAGTTATATTTAATTCGCACATGTGGATGTGCGTGTTTCTAATTGATAAAGTTCCTAATTAATTGATGTTTTTAAAGGTGATGATTGTATTTCTATTGTGAGTGGGTCCCAGCTAGTGAATGCCACGGACATAACTTGTGGACCAGGTCATGGTATCAGGTCTTACATTCAAACCTCTAACTAGTGATTTTACATGAAATGTTTCGAGTTCTTTTCCCAATGTACGTTGCATGGATTAAAGTAATGTTTTATTTTATAATTATTTATTTAATTTTTTTTTAATACATGGTGAACTCAGTATTGGAAGCTTAGGAAATGGAGGTTCAGAAGCTCGTGTTTCAGATGTGACAGTGAATGGAGCTAATCTTACTGGAACTAAAAATGGAGTCAGGATCAAGACATGGCAGGTAATTAAGATAGTCTTTCATTATTGACATGCATATGCCTGCTTATATTACATCTAAATTAACTTATTTCATTTCAAAATATAAACAAAAAAATTAATTTTATCATTCAAGTACACATTTAACTTTATAGTTATTGGTGTTAAACGAAAAAAAAAAACTTGCATATGATCCACACAGCAGGTATATAATAATATAAGAGTTTACATATTATATGTATTAGGCTATTAGCATATATATATATATATTGGTAATATAATCAACATCTATTATGTCTTAATTACACAGGGAGGATCAGGAAGTGCAAGCAAAATTAAGTTTGAGAATATTCAAATGAACAGTGTGACCAACCCTATAATCATAGACCAGAACTACTGTGATCCATGCACATATGTTAGTATTCCTAACCGTCTAATTGAATAATTACAACTCCATGATCAAAGCATTGATTTTAATTAGTAATGCAAAATACTTAATTGAATTATCTCAGAGTTCAGCTGTTCAAGTGAGAGATGTGTTGTACGAGAACATCAAAGGCACAAGTGCTTCTCAAGTGGCTATAACATTTAATTGCAGTCACAGCTCTCCATGTCAAGGGATTAGGTTGCAGAATGTCAACATAAAAGGTGACAAAGGTCAAACAGCCAAAGCTATTTGCAGCAATGTCAACGTTATTAACACTGGAGTCGTTTCTCCAAAATGCCCTTGAGAATAAGAAGCTAGCTAGCTATAAGAGGAATCATTTTTTTAATTGGTTCTCCGGGCGAAGTCCGGGATATCTCGCAATATTAAAAAATAAAAAAAAAATAAAAAATGAAAAATTGTTCTTTTAGAATAAGCTATGTTTTAGTAGTGAATACCATGTAAGGACGTCGTAGTAATTTTTGTTTCATGTGATGTAATATTTCAATTATAAAGAAATAAAGTGATGAAAAGAAATTTATTTTATATAATAGGGTTTTGAGTGTCACTTACTTATTTTTTATACTTCGATCGATGGTGGACATTAATTAATATCAACTTATCAAGAGTTATGGTTCCAAATATTCTTACTCCCTTGAGCATTTTAGCAAAATTCATGCCTCTGAGTTTCTTGCCCATGACTATTTTTTCCAATCCCATAATTGATTTCCTTGAAAATCTCTTCATAAAAAAGACTTGATATGTATTTTTCATGAACTCGAATCATAGTGATATATATATAATTCTTGTTTTTTTTTAATTATTATTTAATGTACAATACACACACACACAATATATATAGACGGGACCGAGGGAATTATCACTCCTATTTATGATAGGATGCACATCATACAAGTTGAAATGAGGTTAGACAATCTCCTTTGCAATGAAACACTGTGATATGTTTTCCTACTATTAATTACTAATTTATTAATCACTATAGTAGTGAAATTTCATAAATAAGTGAATTCATTATTGAAAGTGATCAACTTTACAGGAGAATGTTGATTCCAATTGATAATATATATTTTAGGAAAAAATGTAATAAATCACCTTAAATTATTGACCTATCGCAATAAACCTCCCCTTGAATTACAAAAAATCCTCCTAAATTATTAATTTGTTACCAAAAAAAAAATCTCATCGACTATTGATTTGTTATTTGCCCGTAGCTAAGTTACCCTTGTTTAAAACTACGTAGTTTTGAAACTTACACTCTAAACTTGATGACATGGCAATGATAATTTCAGACACCAATCAAATTGCAACAACAAAGCAACCTTATCTTCAGAGAGAGAGAGAGAAAAAAAAATCCTTATAAACCCATTTTGCCGTCAAACTTATCCTTTACCGCCATGTTCGACGGCGAAACTCACCAGATTTTCCAAAATCTCTCCAACGTTGACGATCCCACTCAAATAAACTCGACAGATCTATTCTCCATGGGAATTGTAAAACAATTTCTTAAAGCAAGGCCAACCAAATTTCACTCCTAGCAACCACTTGGACTCTTGCTTCCGATCACCACCGCGTCGGCAGAATTCAAAAGTTGATTGGCATGTATAACTAACCAATTTTCAGACTGATTGGAAAAATTCAAGAGGCCCTCTATGTACCACCATGAAGGAGAGATCGAGAGAGAGAGAAATGCGTAGAGATAGAGAGAGAAAGAAGGGATCAGAGAGAGAAATCAAGAAACGGTGTCCATGGCAGAAGAAAAAGAACCACAAAGAGGCAACATCTATGAGAGACCATCATCAGCTTTTATAGAACCTCCACAAATCCATACTCTCTTAGTACGAATCAGCCTCTTCAATCACATCATCTTCTTCTTCTGGGTTGCCGGCGTTGTACGCCTCCGTTCTGAATTTTGGAGTGATCAAGTCGTGGATGGCGTCGCCACAGTAGAAACATCTGGATTTCTTATTCGGTTGGGTATAGCTGTTCATTCTTCTCTCTAGGTGCCCAATCTCATCACAACTCCATTAAGAGACCTAACAATGTGGGTCTTCCTCTTGTGCTCATCACTACCACCACAATCCCTCTCACCCAACTCTGAAATTGACCACTCAGTTTCAGTTAATCAATTCGCAACCACAATATCTCTTATTCTTGCTGCCCTGTAATTAGAGTCGAACAGTGTAATCAGGAAAAAGGATTTCACCATCGCTCGATCTCTCAGTTCTCTCTCTTCGATTGATTGATCATTCCTCAACAATCACAAGTATGTCCAATATATATATATATAAATAGAGGGAGAAGGAGAAAGATAAGCAATATATATAGATCTCTATAGACAGGGTGAGAGAGATGTTCAGTTTGCCCTGTCGAATCAGTGTGTGTGTATATAGATTCAGTTTGGCCAACAAGGTTCAATTCGAATGGTGGAAAAAAAAAAATGCAGTTCCCGTTAATCTATTGTGCTCCTAACTCTGCAACGACTCAGCAAGATTTTTTACTTTATCAACCTTTGTGTTCAAGGGGGAAATATGTCAAACTACGAACCCATTTCAACAATTCCCCAATCTACAATAAAAAAACAATTTATGGGGTGTCACCACTCCATCCAAAACCCACAACAAGAAGTCAGGCCCAAAATTAACACAACATTATATGAATTGTTACAGAACAGGAAGAAAATAATAGAATTGAAGGCTCGCCCAACAACCCCTTGAGACCCGGCATCATCCCCGTGAATATCTAGATGGTTTAACCTATGAAAAGTGTTCTCACTGGCTGGCGTCGCCAAAGCTGCCTCACTCCGGCTCGACGGAGACCCGACGCTGCCACTGGTCGACATCGATTGGCCCGAAACGGTGGTGCCCCACGACCTGGTAGCTCCTCCCCTTGAAGCGGCCGGAGGGTTCTTGTCCCCATTTTATGAATTATAGAAAAAAATTTCGAAAAAAAAAAAAAAAAAGATTTTTTAATTTATCAAAAATATGCCAAGAAGATGATGAACAGTATTTTTTTCTCTCCCCCCTCTCAGTATTTTATCTCTCCCCCTCTTTCTGTGTTTTGATGTCTGTATATATAAGGGATAAAGGTGTCAACACGAATTATTATTTTTTTTTCTTTCAATAATGTGCTTTGTGAAAAAGATAATCATTACCTATATATTTATATATATAGATATCCATAAGGTGTGTTTGGGGTGTTTAAAAGGTGTTTGGGTTTAATAGTTACAATAAAGGATATTAGTGTTTTTTCATGCTCAGGAGGGTAATATAGTCATTAAAAATTATAGTGTATGTCATGTGCCATCACGTGGGTAAGATTCGATCGGAATAGTGACGGATCCAACCGGAATAATGACGGATGGAGCTATCTGTAACAAAAATGCATAATTTAGAGGGTTAGTTACAATTTTAATAGTTCAAAGGGTTAATTACAATTCTTTAATAGTTTAGGGGAATTTTTACACTTTTCCCTATATTTTATAACCAACTCAGACATATTCACAGCACACTTGCCCAAGTGATCATCATCTTTTGAGTTAAGAAACAAAATGAGTGCAAATTCTATTGAGTGCAATTTCTTTTAAAATTGGCAATCCAATAATGGGAATCTGATTCTTTTCTTCCTCAGTTACAGAAGGATTGATTTATTCATTAATCTTTACTATATTATTTTCACACCTTTTAAATTTAGAATTTGATAGGGAAAAATAAATCTAACCTATCTTGACCTAACGATAAAAGTAATTAAGTGTTGACCAGATGTCAAATTTCTTCTACTTTGGAAAGATAATATTTCCGTATCAAGGATAACAATTTTTATTGGATAAATTTCATGGAATAATGACAAATCTGATCAAGGATAAGATTTCCATGGGATAAGTTTCATGGGATAAGAATTATGATACTCCCTCATCAAGAATAAAGGAAGTGACGATAAATAAGAAGACGACTCGGGAATAAGGTATGACGAAAAAACTATTATTAAATCCCTGCCTTCTTTTTAGACATCCGGTGACTAACTTGATCGTCGGAGAGCTCTTGACAGGCACCACACCGGTGCTATCAAAGTTCATCAATCTTCTCTTCTTTTCATTGCAGGAAAACGGTGTCGTATCGGACCGCGTAAATTTCACCCTCAACAGTTGGCGCCGTCTGTGGGAACGATGATTCCCTTGAATCAATTAATTACTCAGTTGGGTATATACGTTTGCGATCCGGTATGGTTACCAAAGGAACAATGTCGCAGGGATCTGGTCAAAGGGTAGAGTCGGGTGAAAACCTAGATGTCCTAAACGACCAGACACGGCTTGCAGCGTTGGAATTGCAGGTCCAAACTCTGAGTTAGGGTATGGACCAGTTAATTCAGCAAAATGCAGTGCTCCTGCAACATCTTGTTCCACCGGTTCAACAAAACTTGCCACGACAAGATCTCTAAAATCCAAATGGAAGTAATGGGAATCTTGAAGAGCAGGATAATTATCCTCCCCAAAATGAGACCGAAGTGGAACAAAGCTAGGTAAGAAACCGACATAGAGAGGTGGCCACCCATCTTTCCCACGAAGTTCCCGACCTCATGAAGGCACAGCTTTCTGTCTTAAGGAAAAGATAAAGAAAGTTACCTATTTCGACTTGCAGATCGAGGATCTCAAGGGGAAAATGGAAGATGTAATGCGAGCTATGAAAGGGAAGGTCCTGCCGCCATAGATGACCTGGTACAAAAGACCAACTTGCCGTTCAGCCCCACCTTTATGAAATGTCCATTGCCTAGCAAGTTCGGATGCCCTCGTTCGAAAGCTTCGATGGGACCAAAGATCCCCTCGATCACCTAGAAACCTTGCAAGCTCTTATGCATTTGCACACCGTGCTAGATGCAATCATGTGCCAAGCTTTTCCCACTACACTTAAGGGATCGGCAAGAGTTTGGTTCAACAAGCTAAAGCCAGGAACCATCAGCACCTTCGAAGAACTGAGCAAGCAATTTGTGAGCCACTTCATTACAGGTCAGAGGCATAGGAGGCCGGCCACCTACCTGCTTACCGTGAAGCAACAGAAGGGCGAGTCGATCCGAGAATACATCAGCCGATTCAACATAGAGATGGTGCAGGCAGAAGAGGTAGACGATAAGGTGGCTTTGACCGCTTTCATAGGAGGACTCCAAACCTCCAGATTCTTATTCGTTTTATCCAAAGAACTTCCTACCAGCATGGCAGAGTTGTTGATCAGAGCGTAGAAACACGTGAACGCTGAAGACGCCATGAATGCACGGAAGGGAAAGGAAGGAGGGGAC